CAAGTACTTTTCTTAAAGTATAAGTACAAGTATCAAGTACATTTTTGCAAGTACAAGTATAATACTTTTACTTGAAAAAGTACTAAAAGTACAAGTACAAATACTTTCGTCCTAGCTCTGATCAGAGACGAGCTATTTCACAAACAACCATTCTTTTATGAAAATATTTAAATCATACACAACACTCACTTGTTGATTCATTAACGATAAATAATATTGTAATTCATTATGACTTGTAATAAGTATACCTTCACCTTTTGTATCATACTGTGGACGGCCAGCACGTCCAAGCATCTATTAAACAAAAAACAATAGTGTAGAAATAATCAACATACTATACTAAGTGATAAATACATACTTGCATCACGTCTAATGCACCCAGTTCTGTCCAACGTCCTTTTTCGGGATTATAAACTTGTGTACCTTTGATAATGACTGTATGGGCCGGTAAATTTACACCCCATGCTAATGTTGCTGTTGATACAAGCACCTGAATATGACGTTCAGCAAACAAATCTTCGACTAATGTTCGATCGGCACGATTCATACCAGCGTGATGAATAGCGAAAGAATATGGAAAGAGATCTTTCAATTCCAAATTCTAGGATAAAAAAACATGTTACAACAGATGAGTACTGTACACTCTTAACAAAAAAAGACATACTTTTGTTTGTTCAGCTTCTGTACGAAGAATTTCCATTGATGCTGATCCTTCTCTTAAAAATGCACCAATTGTATCTTTTTCCAGGCATGCATCACGAATGGCTCGAGCTGTTTTTCCTGTTTCTTTACGAGAATGCACGAATATCAAAACCTACAAACACAAATAAGATGTTAACATATTTCTTTCTTTTTTTTCCAAATTAGAAGTTTACCTGATTTTTTCCAGCATGTTCCATGACTTTTTCATACACAAGATCATTCATTATTTGGAAACGTTTGATAGCTTTTTTCTCTGTTATACCAATATACTGTTGTTCTAGTGGCACAGGACGATAACTATTATTAAAATGAAATAGACCTTCTTTTTTCACACATAAAAATGTTGCAATATCTTCATAATTAGGTAATGTGGCACTCAAACCAACAAATCGAACTTCATCGTGTGTTGTTCCAATAGTACGAATTGTACGAGCAATAACAGCTTCTAATACCGGTCCACGATCATCATGTAACAAGTGTATTTCATCGACAATAATTAATCGAACCAATTGCGTATATGCACGTTCACCACCTTTTCTCGTAACAATATCCCATTTTTCTGGTGTACAGACGATTAATTGTGTTTCATTAATTTGTTCTTTTGATAACTGATGATCACCGGTTAACTCAGCTACTTTAACACCATAAGGATTCAAACGCTACAAAGAAAACAAAAAGTGCGTATGAATACGACTCATTAAAGAACATGAGACACTGATAGATAAAGAACATGCTTTTTGACGCCAGTAGTAAAATTGACACTTGAATATCAACGACGCACAACAACATATATATAGAAATAAAAGCTGAGCTAATTTTTCTTTTTTTCAATACTCACCATCGTAAAATTGCCTACAACTTCCTGAACAAGTGAGCGCATTGGTGCAATGTAAATCATTTTAAATTCATCTGTATTAATTGAACCATCTGGCAAAACATGTTTGCCGATTTCACGTAGAATACATAATAATGCAATATTTGTTTTGCCAGCACCCTACAGCAAGCAAAAAGAAAAACATATTTTACTAAGTTTTAAACTTTTAGTGTGAAATGAGGTTATTTACAGTGGGTGCACACAATAAGATATTTTCATCTGTTTCCAACGTTATTTTAACCATTCTTGTTTGAATACGATTTAACTCTTTATAATTTTCAAATGCTGGTTGTGCATATTTAGGAAGATCAGCTACAGGATATAAAACCTATAATAGCAGAAAAACATCCAGTTAGATGAAATAGCAAACAGAATACACGGAAAAAAAACATACTTCACCGGGATCCAACGGTGCTGGTTTTAATGATGGAACATGAACTTCTTCATACCCTTTTTTCTGAAAGCGATATGAACCTTCTGGTAGTTTGCAACTTTTATTAGCCATAAAATGACTACCTTGAGTAAATACAAGATCTTCTAAATTTAACACATGTTGTGGATTCCAAGACTAAATGTAGAGAACAAAACATTTTTTAACTAAATTAAAACAAAATCAATTATACAAACCTCTGAGGTTCCATTTTCAACATCCATTGGCTCTTGTTCACGTGCTTTTCTTGCTGCTACACGACGATCACGTGCATCCTACAATCATACGCAAAACATTACCAATGTACAAGAAAACAGAAGGAACGTTTTCAGTTCAACTTACAGCTACATTATCATTTTTCTCTGTTTCTAATAATGCTTGTAATATTCGATTTAGTTCAGGATCACTTCGCATTTTATCTTCAATACGTGCCTTCTCCGATGCACTTTGTGATGATGCAAGTAGTGTACAATATAAAACTAGAAGAAAAAAGCAAGTCATTTAATTATCCAAAAAGAAGATTAAAATGATTGAACGATCATCACTTTTGGGAGCGTACCGGTATAAGCGTAGACTATGATTTACATCAAGCGAATCCTAGACTAGTACTAATCAAGTCTATCATTTTTTTAAAAAATCTTTTATAGCCAAGTTGTTTTTCTTTGTATAAGTGAAAATATAAACGCTATTTACATACTCATCTGTCGATTAGCACGTAAAATTTTTATAAAATCAAATTGATTATAACCCAGTAATAAAACAAGCTGATTTTCTAATTCACGATCATCTGATGCATTCTAAAAACAAAAATAAATTTTACTTTACGCCAGTAATGAAAGAGCGTTCATCTTACTTTTAATATTTCAAGAACTTCCTGCGCTTTTGTTTGTGCCACCATCGGTTCATCGTAGACTTTACTTAGTTTTCGTTGTAACCAATATGCATCTATATCGTGTGCTTGTAATGATTTATTTTGACGTGCTAAATCATCGCCACTAATCTAAAACAAAAAATTAAAAATATAGTTCAATAGAGACGGAAATAGCAAAACAAAAAAAAACAATACATTTTTATCGATGACGTTTTTTCCTTGTATGGTATAATCCATTTTTGCGTCTTCTCCTTCGTCATCTGCCTCTTCATCGTCTCGTATTTCATCAACATCATCATCCCGTTCAGAATCACTACCTTCAAATTCAACGTTCACACCATACGTTTCATCGATTTCTTCTTCTTGTTTTGTTTTATCATCTGTTGACCAATCTGTTATTTTCTTTCCAAGATTAACTAGTAATGCAAATCGTTGATCAGGTATTTTACTGCTCAGTAATGTTTCTATTTCATGTTTACGTTCTTTATCACGTAATTTATCATTTTTTAATATAATTAATACTTCATCAGCCGCTCCACATAAAACATTACGTGCCTAAAATAAAGATCAAAACATGTAGGAAGATATGCTTATCTTTGTGTAATCTATATACCTGATCACCAAGAGCTTCTTGGATAAAACCTAATAAAAATTCGTATGTTTGTTTTGTTTCTTGTGTTTTTGGACGATACATAATACTTGAAGTATCATCCGATGTACCATCTGATAACAATGTTTGACCTTTAAAACGTGTTATGTCATATTTTGAATATTCGTCTTCTTTCTTTTGTTTTCTAAATGAATACAAAATAAACATATAAAGTAATCTTAAAACAATATACAGTCAAGATATTGTCATACTTGTCTTTCTTTTCTGGTCTTGTACGTTGTGCTTTATCACCCATTTTGGTTCCTAACATATGAGAACTAAGTGATAATACTTCACCAGTCGCTTCATCTCGAAGACGACGATCAATCAATGATTTGTCGACTTGTAAAACAAGATTTGAATTCTAAAACAAAAAGAAAACTATCGTAAACCCTTTTTTAATGCACTGAGACTTTGGATTTTCGTCCACCTGACATTTTATGACTATTTTGAGGTATCAGTCAAGGTAAAATTTTAAACAGCAAAATAAAAACATTTCATTTCGTAACATTTCTCAACTGAAGTGAAACTTACCGCTTTGTACTCGTACTGAGAACGACGTGCCGCTGCATCAGCCATGATTTATTTTATCTAAAAAACAATAAGCATAATAAGTATTATAGCGCCCAAAGTAACTTCAACTGATCAAGTTTGTATGGATGATAGTAGTAAAAACAGACTTATATTGCTATTAAAAAATAAATCACGATCAGTAACAACGGTTTATTCTACGATCTGTTTTGGAATTTCGACATTTCTGCATTGGCATTTCGACAGAATTCTCTACTTTAATGAAATGATGGAAAAAAAGACTGATACAACTAATAGTTTTTGTTGAATAAATGTTGCTAAATTTACTCCGTATTAAATTAATTAAGCTATGAATATTACTTTTGACGGTACTGAAATTTCGACGGCGTTGTCAAAATTCCAAAAGCAGATGGGCAAGTTTACCGCGACACCGTTCAATTGAAAAGTGGAAATTAGTACTACTTTAAAGGATTAAACAATGAACGCAGCAAGAACACTCAACGTTTCCCAGCCATAATCATTCACAACTGTAAACAGGAGTCCTCACTCACAGTTCCAACTTTTAAAAAAAAATTCCCCAAATTCCTAATAAATGATAGAACAAAAACAGGAAGATTTAATTTGGAAAACAAAGAAAAAAAGGAAACAATAGAATTTTGTGAAGAAATGCTCTTCTTGAAAAATGGTTTACGTTTTTGATAACACAAAATAGTCTAAACCAGAAAAAATGTAAACTCTCCTTCGTCATAATTATATTTTATCAAGATATAATATAATCAGAAGTTGAAATGAAATTTCTTTGGCTATAAGTAATCTAAAAACTTGATTGTGTATCTGTCTACGCACAAAACATGCAAAATGGTCGGTAGATATTCCACAAATTAGCCAATGAAAGGAGAAGGGGAGAGAATACCGAGTGATTGCTGATGCAGTTATGTAGAAGATAACTATAGCGAAAAATCAGATGTTACTATTAAATATATAGAACCTACTAGAATTGGGTACATCAAAGCCAAAATGAAACTAGCGTCAAGACCTTTTAGGAAAGATTTTTTACATTTTCGATATTTAATCGAAGTTGTATTGCGTTACTTCATTGAAAGACTAAAAATAATGAATAAATTATAAATGAACGTTCTTACTTAAGAAGAATGTAATATAGACTAGCAAAGAAGATGTATATATCTCTTTTGTGTGTGTATATATTTATTTTTACAAATTTTGAAAGAACGGTATCTTTATGATTGGTTCATAGAAGCCATTATATCTTGTTTTTTTTTTATATAACACACATGTGTATACGGCTTAAGTGATCTGGAAGAATTCATGACAGAGGCATATGTAAGATGGGAAAGAGAAATGACTATTGGATTAGAAAGGACATATTGGCATAACAATTAGACTACAAGATAATTCAAACAGGGTTGCCAAGTCTTCCGATTTTGAGCTTCTTTTTCGATGGTATGAGGACTGACGACTAAGTGCATCCGTTATAGTATCACTAAAACATGTAGGATATTCAAAATTTATTGGATGAAAATTTTAGATTTAAATAAGCTTCAAATAACATTTCATTTCCCCATAATTCTTTGTTATGCTCAAGCGCAGCTGCTGAGATCTCCGATTCGGGCGCCTCACGATGAATCTTCAACAGAGTCTGTTAGTGGCGCCTTCATCGGAGATCTCAGCAGCTGCGCTTGAGCATAACAAAGAATTATGGGGAAATGAAATGTTATTTGAAGTTTATTTAAACCTAAACTTTTCATCCAATAAGTTTCAGTTCGAATTTTGAATATCCTATATGTTTTAGTGATACTATAGTGGATGCACTTAGTCGTCAGTCTTCATACCACGAATAAATTTTGACTTTCCGATTTATGGACCTTTTACTTTTTTTCTGAAAAGTACATATTCTTAAAAGAATTCAACTGATTAACATAACGTCATACATACAGCAGTTCTGTGTTTCTTTTTCTATGTGTGTGTCACATATATGTTTATTTGAAAGATAAACGCACATGTCATGGGCTAATTCTATGTTATATATTGGGAATTCCAAAAGGATAGGACAAAAAAAGAACTAGTCATTTCTTTCTTTTATACATAAAGACATAGTCTAGTTACTGATCTCTAGCTGCTAAATTGGAGAAATCGTTGTCGTTGAAAGATCGTATGCTTTTTGGCATCATCGGTGGCAGGGGACATCTCCGAGAATGACTTTCCATCAGATTCAGTTGAGAATAAATATAAAAGAAACACAAAACGTCACTAGAAAACGTAAACGCAACTGCGTTTCTGGCACAAAAAAAGGTGTTTTTTAGCAAAGATTGGTTAAAAGATCCCAAATACTCTGACTTTTTACAACAAATTCGCCATAATCCTACTAAAGCACGTTGTTCATCATGTAATTGTGGTATTTCGGTTTATGGTGGACGCAAAAACGATCTAGATAAACATGTAGACACTGTAAAACATCAAGAATTTATGAAAAACAAAACAAAAAATAAGTCCAGTTTCTTTGGATTTATTTTCTCAAACTTTATTTGTATTTGTTAACGAATTCTAGACTCGCCTGAAACATCTTTTACACTATTTACTGAATTAGATAAATTATCAGCCATTGAAGCAACATTTGTATTTCATGGCGTTAAATATGCTCATTCATATTTATCACTGTTTGCGTTGTCAAAAAAACAGTCAATGCTTCAGATAATAGATTTTTTTAACTGTTATTGAATGTGTTCTTTTCTGTTGAAAAAACGAACATGTATTGTTGTAGCAAAAATAGCCTGATATCTTTACCTTATTAAGGTATTTTGGAAAAAATGCTTCTTCCGGTTTTATACAATACAATTTTTTTTTGACTTTTTCCAATTTTAACGGGATTTTTTCTGAACTGTGGATTTTGCACTTGGCAACCCTGGATTCAAATAAGATTTTTCGGCCATGAACTTTTCTCCGCCATTCAGACACAGGTAATGAACAACTGACAGGCGACTGTTGGTCGGTATTTTACGGTTGATCGATAAAAACCAACCGTAATATATCCGTAAAATATCGACCAACAATCGTCTGTCAGTTGTCCATTATCCGTATCTGAATATCAGGGGAAAATTCATAGCTGAATTTTCCGTAAAATCGATAGATATCTAATCGAAAACAATCAAATTTGCACTGAATATGTGATATGAGTCATTGCCGTTTCAGGGAATTGATTCAGACAAATGTCAAAATGAAGACTAAGACTGTTTTATTCACGAAAAGTGAGAGTCATCAAAGGTCACCGATCGGTAATAGACAATACAAAAAATAGTAAAAAAAAGAACAAAATAAACAAGACAACTAAGGTTAGAACCAGAAGTGGGGAATAAAACGAATGCAAACTAAATGATTTTCGATGATTACTCGTAACTGAAATCCTGCAAATGTCATCTCCACTTTAGGAAAATGTGTTTTGTTGTATCTCTCTCGCGTTTGCACCATCTCTGCAATAAGAAAGGTTTGTTGGTTCTTCTGCATTTTCCGATCTTATTTTAAAGAAGATCTGCCCAATGTCGTTAGTGTAAGGTAAATATGCCAGAATTAACTGCAAAATTAGGAAACAAAATGTATTTAAGGATCATAAAAACTGATAGAGATATACAGCATGGTGAGAAAGCAACAGCGTGGTTGTTAACGAATTTTCTAACATGAAATCAAGAAAAAATATACTTTTGCTTCTAATTTTAATAGCATTGTCGAAAATGTTACTTCATAATCATTGGGTTGAGGGTGCACTTGATAGATTGCGATTCAAACCACTGGGTCTTATCAGCATCCAGTTTCTTGTTCACGTGTAACTGCCTGATTGATTAGTACTGTGTTTAATTTTTTTAATTCAATATTTCAGTTTAATTATGTACTAGAGATCATTAAAAAATATTTTCTTACTTGTCAAGGTCTCCGGAAATTAAATCCAAGATCATATTAAGGTATATCATTTTTGTTTGAATCAATATGTTGAAAGAAATTCATATGAATAGATCTGAAGTAAAAAATAGTCATTTCAAAAATAGAATATACATCAACTTAATACTAGAAATCAGTTTAAATTACTTTGTACTCTTAAATTTACTCTGAGTAGTACAACATTAATTTATATTAATTTTTAAATGCGAATTGATCTAAATCAATTTGTAATAACTGTTTCATTTAAATTGGACGTAACCGATCATGCTGACTCTCATGGCCATATTTGTTTTTAGAAAAACTTTTAAAAATACCGCGAAAAGCGAGGTTTACGGAAATTAGAAGTTTTACGCTGTTTCACCTAATATTAAAAAAATTCCCTATTCACTCAAGAAACATCAGAACAAGTTCAAAATTTTAAACTATAGGCTATTCTATATCCTGTTTATTGGAGATCTAGAAAGATTTTACAAAACTCTAAGGTTTTCCGAAAGGATTTGAAAACAGCCTGAAAACCATGATGTTCGTAAAACTCGCTTTTCGCTATATTTTTAAAACTTTTTCTAAAAACAAATATAACCACGAGACTCATGTTTTGAAGAGATGTCGGGCTACCAGCTCATGAAAAAGAATCAATACAATCCTATTCGAAAATTTTTACACGAGTTGGTTTTTCTTGTTGATCTACCGGTTTGCTGAGATGCTACATAGTATTTTTGATGTTAGATTACCCAGTTATGTTTTCTTCAATAGTCTATATAACATTTTTGTAGCCCGTGAAATTCTTTATCGAATGGTAAGTTATATACTAGTGGATTTTTTTGTGAGCAAAAGAGATGAAATAATGAAAATACTCTAAGGTTAGTCGATCTAGAGAGAGAACTTTCGAGTGCGAAAATCTTACCAAGGAGCATCGAAAAGCGTTTTTTAAGGTCTAGAAATGTATCAGTTCTAATGCCGTAGCTCCTTCGTCAACGTGTACTCCAAAGTTTTAAGTTTGCGAAAATGATGGTTTCAGTTTATTTCAAATGGAGGTGAAATACGTTTTCGATTGTGTTCGATTTATAAGTCACCAAAGGGCGTTCGCTTGCGCAGATCCA